AAATGTACGTGTATTGACAGCGCCAATTTATAACATCATAACTGATATGTTGTGTGTTTTTGTGTGCCGCTGTGAGTGTGTGTGCGTGTTTATGTGTCGGTGACGATGACGGTGATGCTGTTCATATCTTGTCTCCCGTTTATGCCAGTTGCTATTTATTTTCCGTCATATTTTCGCCGTTCTTACTTTTCTTCGGCATTTTTGCTTTTTTTTCTGGGTTTGGGTGCGAAAAATGGCTGCAGGTGATCATGAAAAACTGATAAAATATATTAGAAGTACTGCTGAGTTACGTAATATACTCAAAGTGAACATTACATTGTTTCCGTCACTCAGTAGGGTAAACGAATGGGTAGAAAAAGTTTTTTTCTTCTCCTAGATGACAGCGAATATGTACGCTCGCGGTAAAAGCGGGAGAAAATGAATGCCCACAAAACTCTCGGAAATTGAGTGTGAAAATATATACGAATATATGAGACCACCATAGTTAACTCTCCCACTCTCTTCTTTCGTGGATATTTGCTGAGTCTATCCCCATAGCGTTTGATTGCCATAGAATGGCATGCCGACAAGTTTCTCTTTCACACAACTTTCTCTCGTAAAGCTGATCAAATATTTTAGTTGGATCTTATAGTTGTGTTATATAAAAAGTAAAACATCAATGTCCCACGACAATACACTTCTCGCGTTCGAAAATACATTGTGCATTTCTCAAATAGTTAAAGTGTATTCTTTATACATAATTTATCGATGATGTAGTGCATAATTGTGCTACACGTATTCAAAGTACAGTACACTCGATGCGCTACATGAAATATGAATTTTATGAGTTGAACGGTTTTTTTCCCTTTTTTATGCGATGTTTCGGTTGGACGGTTGAAGTCAAACAAATCTCGAAAAGAATTTTTATTAAATATTCACTCTGAATTGTGTGCTATTAGTTTTAAAATTAATGTCAATTTAAAAAATTGAATGCAGCTAAACAAAGACGATTTTTATTGATTTTTTGCCTTTTTAAATCCATATCCGAATGTCATTTCAGCTTCACTTTGCACTGCATTGCGTGTAAAGCGAACCCATGCCGTCCAAGAGCATGTTGAAGAGAAAAGCTTTTTACTTTCACTTGAGTGGCAATGGCTTTATGCTTGCATTGGATTCTGCAATCTGCATAGCTTCCGGAATCATAAATGTTTTATTCATATTCACATAATATTCACAACGCACCAAATAGAATAATCAAATCGCACATGTTCCGCCCATAACAGCACTGAAAGCTCAACGATGTGGTTTTTGTTGCAATTGCAACAATTTTGCGTCATTCATTCCATACTTCCTCCGTCACTCTTGCCGCCTGCACATTAATAAAGTCATGTTTCGTTTAGTATTCAGTTCACATTCCGTGTTTTTTGTCTGTTAATATTTCTGTTCGCTGGAGAAAAAAAAAAACGGGATGACGATAGCAGAAATGTAGGAAGCGTTAATGCATCGAGTTGTGCATTGGATATTGTCTGGGACCAAAGTACATCACTTCATGTATTCATTCACTTTATCCGTTTACCCGTACAGTCGAATGTGAAGCTGTGATTGTGACAAAATGAAAAGCCTGGAATGCATTTTAAGAGTATCAATTTGAAAGAAAGAAAACACCTCGTTTCATGGTTCAACATCGGATCTGACGTCGTTTCCATTCATTCAGCATTTCAATGCAATGGTTTTTTTTTTCCTCTCTTCTTCTCTTCAAAAGAAAACAGAAATTACGCTTTACTACATTTGATTCCTTCAAAAGCGATGTAATCGCTATGAATGGATTCTGCAACGAGATGAGAGAAATATTTGAATTTAATTGGTTCTGCATCACAATTTCCTAAAGATGTTTGTCGGATGAAAATGCAAACAAAGAACAACATGCTATTTATATTGAAATGCTATCGGGCATTCTTTTATGCACCGCGAGCGGCTCAAATTCGAAACGTTGAAATTACAGAAACAATGGAACGGCAAAGATATACGCTGAAAACTACTTCACAAGGACAAAAGGATAAACACATGGAATTTTGCATTTAGATGCAAAATCCTTTATCACATTCAATGCAGTACTGCATCCATGCTTCGTTCGCTATGTTTTACGTTTATATTCGTTGGAAATTTTCCCTATTAAAAATACAGTTCGGAATGTAAAGAAACAGTGAAGTCCGGCATTCTGAGTTTTTGGTGGTGGCATTCTTTGTGTCGAGAAACATAGACGAAAATTTGTTTGCGAAATGGGTTTGAAAAATATCATTATTTGCGATTAGTGTGGCGAATGAACCCAATGCTGCTAGTGAATGCACACAAAGCAATGTCGAAAAATAGCTGTGTCCACCTCTCTACCTGTGAATGCTTTTAACAAAGTTATTAAACGTACAAACGTATGCACCGCTCTGCAATGGTTGTGTACTCACAAACAGGTCCACATACCACACACTCAGATACAGATACACAAAAAACGATTCGATAAATAACAAAATAGAAGCAAATAGTAAATGCAAACAGAACAATTTGTGGCAAGCACAATGAAAATGAAAAAAAAAACACATACAGCATGCATTGCGAATACTAAAAGACCAAACTATCAACAATTCACGAGGAGGAATATGAAAAAGTATCGACGATGAAACTGAGGAAAAAATACACACAGCCACACAACACTGCCTCAATGAAACGACATTATGTTGTGCTTCTTATTTATTTACATTTCAAGTGGAACACAACGCAAACGACACACTGTATTATGGATATATACATTTTGGCTTCTACCCGTTGTTGTTCTGCCATTTAAATTCCAGCTGAAACCAAACGGAAAAAATGTCATTATAAATCATAACAAGAAAAGTACCCGCATTAATGGAAAAATAGTGTTACAAACTTATCCAAGTTGTTTCAATGTTTTGTTGAAGTCCGTTGAGCTGTTGTTGTAATCGAAAGAAATGAATGAAAAAAATTAGTGTCGCCACCGCCACCACCACCACTGTGTTTCTGAAATGATGGTAGACGTGCATTTCACGGCACGAGTGAAAACGAATAAAAATGCGATTCTAGTGCTATGTGATCAGTCACAGCATAAAATTTCTAGAGAAGTAAATTCGAAAATCATTTTCAAATTCCCACAAGAAAACTGCATAAAAAACGGCGTATACGTGAGAGGGAGAGGGAGAGAGAGAGAAAGTAGCGTCACTTTTGCATTGGTAATTGTGTTGCGTGTATGTACTTGTTGCTATTGCAAGCTCTCGCAAAAATAATGGAAATCGAAATGGAAACAGCTGTGAGAAGCACACTCTACCATCATCATCAGGATCCGGGCATGTTTCGGAAAACGGCATGGGTAAATTGCATTCTCGCTGGTGCAAGTAGCGTGGTGGTGAGACATGGTGACTGTGTGTGAGCCATTGTGTAATGTATTTTCAGTGCCGAAGCCGGAGCGCACAACAACATTGTGACCATTCTCATTTCAAAAACGATAGTTTATTGTGTGTGCAAGGCGAACAAGCAACGAGCATTAAAACTTCACAATGGCTGAACGATAATAGCACCAAGTATCCATTTTCATTTTCCATTTATTCGATGCGCCCTTGTATCATAGTTGCATTTTATGGTCATAAAATGGCGTTCAACTAAATGCCTTGCACTGCAACGTGAAAGTTAAAACGATTCGCTCGTCGTCGCCGCCATCGCTTCTGCTGTTGCCCTACTCGCTCAGGTCTGTGTTTCACTTGCCTTATATTGATACATAAATTTATTCCAGGCATGAGCGATGAATCAAGCTAAAGCATAAGGCCATCGTTTCGATTATTGTTGTGTGTGTGTGTGTGTGTGTTTTTGAGCGAGCGTTAGCCAAAGCAGTAAAGTCAAGGCTACGGAAAATTGCAACCTGCATATGGATTGTGTATGGATCATAGTCGGTTATTTTGAGAGTTGGTTGCGTTTTTCTCTTTCTCTCTTTTTTTGCTTTACAGCAATCCATTTCGACATAAGAAACTTAACAAACTGTCCAAGAGAAAGCTCTTAACGATCAATATAATCGCCTGAAGATGCTGATGGCGAAATAAACAGAAAAAATATCCCATCAATTTGAACATAATCCGCTGGATCACAAAAATAATGTGAAACTAAAAATAATTAGGAAATCAAATAAAATATAATTGAGGACGAGCTTGTGGATGAAAGAGACTCCAAACTGAAATGAAAGGTGACTATCAACATCCAAAGCTCGTGTACACTGTACAGTGTCTCAAATTCTATCTATTTCGCCTTCACTCTCTCCCTCTGTGAATCTCTTACGCCTTGCAAATCGCCCCGAATGAAAACGTTCGGATTAGAAATTTTAATTATATCTTGGCAAATATTTGCAGTTTTGTTGCGTACACTGCGTAGGATACTGCATCTGTCGAAGCACAATTTACTGCATCTATATTAAAATGCACGTCGAGATTGTGTCAGCTTAAGGGATATCCTTTAGGATGATAATAAACCCTTTATTTATTGTTTGAGTTGTCACACCGAAAACCCGTTTGGAAATCATTGCTAGTATTGGCAATGATTAGTTTTGGCTATTCAATCGATTTGCTATTCAAATCGAAATGTATGGCTCGATGTTGAGTATATCTGCGTGGAGAGTAGATTATGTTATCTATTTGTTTGAAGCTGGTTTTTTATTTGCTCTTCTGTGTGTTGCCGTTGTTTTTGTCGGATTTTCAGTTGCACACACAGCTTGTTTTTATCGTACATGTGATAATCCTGTCTTTTTCTGTCTTTTTTCATTGATCTCGTACACTCGACGCAGTTCATCAAGCTTAGCACGTTTCAGTGACTTCGTCCGTTGAATGCGATGACTATTTTCTCAATTCGTTACTGTTTAACCAAGCTATTCTGTTTTATTTGTTTTTTCTCTATCTCTCATTTCTTCATTATGCTCTTGACAAGGACAAAACAGACGTTTTAAACATGATTTCCCTTTTTCGTTACAGAGCATTTCAACACTCCGTTCAGCCCTGCTAATCATCATACTCACACATACACACACACATCACACCATACTACATCGAAAATGTAAGTAATAGTCTTATGATCCGAGCGCATTTAAATTAGATTTGTTGTGTTTTATTAAACTTTATGCAAATCTGCTTGATGTCTTTAGTTAAAATGAATTTTGCGTACTGCAAGTGTCGGTAAAATTGGCATTTATGCAGTTGAGTGTGTGTATGTTGGCGAGGTGCTTGTCCTTGCTGTGAAAAATGTTTACATGAAATTTAATTTAGCAGAAGTGGTAATCAACGCGTTACATGGATCGTATGCTTTTTTATTATCTGCGCCCCAATGAATTCCATTTAAACTAAACATCGACCATTAATCCTGTCATCTCTTTTTTCTTCGTCGTTCATATTCTCGTGAAGCATCTCTAATGGCATTTTCTTCGGCTAAGTCGTGTAATACTTTCTGGTTCGTGTTGTTTGTTTATACTTTTTTTTTTGCTGCTACTTCTTCCCGTCCAACACAATGGCACATTAACTATCTTTCTCGACCGAATGAATTTTGCCTTATGGATGAAGGGGAAAAAACGAGAAACCGGAATGAGGGATAGGGAATTTATTTACGTTTAGAATATAATTTGAGTACGAGAACCACTCCCTGTGCACACAAGCAAGTATAAAACATCGTTTGAAATTTATCAAAGTGCGGTCCGTCAGTTTCGAATTGCATCCCGGGCAGCGACACACGAGCGCAAAAACTGTTCAATTCACATCAGTTTCGTTGTGCAACTTCGATAAATGACATTGCTTTTTTGGTAAATTGCTTTACATTTGTTGCGCTGTCACCAACACACAAATGGACACACGAAATTAGTTTTAATTAAACACAAGCTTGCAAAAAGCCGACAGAAACGGTGACAAATAAATAAAATTAGGGAATTAAATGATGTTTTCTCCCTCCCGCTCTGGTGTTCAGTGCTTCGCTCGAACAGGTTTAAACCAATCATTTTATAGCAAAATTAATAGTGCCCTGACTGAGTGTGATGGGAACGAAGTGAATTTCATTTAAAATCCACATCGATTTTCCATTCCGTATTTTGTTGAATCCATTCCGGCAAAGTATACCAATCCAATAAGCCAATTTGATAAGTCAATATGAAGTGAAACCGAAACAAAAAAGTTTTGATATAAAATGAAAATAGCCAACAAACCGAACTCAATGTTTGTTTCGCACCCAAAATTGATTCACTTTGCTCGAAGTGAATTAATCGATAATTTATTACCGTTTGCCAAGAAGGGAGGGAAAAAAACTTCCAATAGATAATACATATATGGCAATATGGCATTTCTAGTTCCGCTTCGATTTAACTGAAGCGTCGATGCTTTCAGCAAACACGGTAAAGTGAAACCGAAGGGAGAGTCTCAACAATTTGGCTCGTGATTGGATTAGCATTCCATTGATATATTTATTATTGCATTGCATACTATGCCGACTTTACTGCTCACGTTTCGATCGAATCATAAATTAATTTATGAAATTAGTGCAATTAAATTGACGACTCCACAGGGCAAAACTTTCCCAACAATAACTTGAGCACGTATTGAGGTTAACGTATGTGTGTATGTGTGTGCACTGTGTGCTCTTCTTTGTTCACGTCAATGGATTACGTCAAATTAATTAATACAACCATTTCATTTCAGGCCATGACTTTCGGAAAGGAATCCATTTCCATACCGGAACGTTACTGTGTCGCTTATTCAATTCGATTTTTCGCCAATTGCCAATTGTCAATTTTCATTATGTACCCCATTCGAAATCATTACCCCAAATCGAAAATAATCAACCACAAACAAAACGGAAATGGAGAGAAACATTCTGACCAGAGCGAAAATAAACAAACAAACGTAGATTTTTTTCGTGCCCATTTGCGTCAACCACCGAATAATTGCAATCTTTGTGAAGAGGCAAAGGGTAAATTGGATATTACTTTTCCGCAAACTTTGTTGGTTAAGGAAAAGTATTAGTTCTACTAGCCAAAATTTCATGACATCTCCTCTTTCGGACTACTATAACGTCGCGCAAAACTTCAAAAATGACATATCTGTACACTAAGCAATGTAGATGGGAACAAATCCTATCGATCAAGACCTATCTGCTCCCAAAAATACTTTGTTTACTATGGAAAATGTGCAAAATTGCAAGTGCGTATGGCGTCGTTCGCGTCCGAGCTTTTTGAATGAACATCTACTTGCCCATAAATTTGGTCCAAAATTACATTTCTTGAAATTTTTTAAATTCTGTTCGAAAATGACATTTTTTTATGGAAAATGGTCAAAATAGTTATTTTTCAAAGTCAAAAGTGCTATGAAAGAAGTTTTCATTGAAATTAAGCGGGAGGTTAACGAAATTGCTGCGGAGCGGAAAAATTTGGATTACGTATGTTATTCGTTTTATTTGCAAAAGTTTTCATACCATATTTTTATTTGTCATCATCGCTCATAAAGGGGCTTATCGCAAGAAATAAATGCGAAATTAGCTGCGATAATATGAATGCAAAGGCACCATAGAAAAAAAAATGGAAAATTTTTGATCGATCCACTAAAAAATATATGAATTTCGCCGCAATCGCTACCGCCACCACTGACAACGACCAACCAACATTAATGTGACTCACATTCATAAACATACATCAAAGTCACGGGCGAAACGAAACATTCGGCATTCGAATCGATGGCAAACACTTTGAATGGCTTGATACGTTCGGACAGTGATAGATGAAGCACATTTGTTGCTGCCGTTTTTTTTTTCTCGCTTCGCTAAGGTTTGGCGAATATCGAAAGAACGTTCTTTTTGTGACCTTTTATTTATATGGGGAATAAAGTGCTCGACCATACCCCCAGTCTCTTGCCAGTCTATGTGGTTCACCGAGAAATCTGAACGAATTTATGTCTGTATATTAGTTATTGCAAAGAAATACTTTGTGCAAATGGGAAAAAATGAAAACAAAAACATAAAATAGGACGAAAATAGCAAAAATTCCACAAAAAATTTGAAGCTTCATTCTAAAAGCCTGTCAAACCATATCCCAGCTCAATGGTTTTTCTTCCTTCTCGACCTTATCGTTTCTTATTTTCCTCGGCACAATTTGTGTGCTCTTCCCTTAAATACATACAATTTCAGTCGGAGTGCATGTTGGGTCACGAGGTCGAATTCCCTTTTTTTAATCTCAATTTGAAACTGCGCAATTTTTTTTTATAACTACACATAAAATGCGACTTCGTCAAGTTAGTTATTGTCAGGTTTTTGAACCTTCGCTTCCAACCATCGATCCAATTTTAAATCACTTCATCATTCTTTTTTCTTAGGTTTTGAATGAGTGAACAAATTGAAAATGGTTTGTGGCGGCGAAAAAAAGAACCAGCCAATAATTCCTTGGCAAGTTTTTTCTTCTTTTTTTCACATCGCACGCTAGTGCATATCAGAATACAACAAACCCGAGGGATGCTCGAATTAATTTATCCGCGTTGATTCGTATCAAAACAACGAGAGAAAGTGATGAACAGCAGATAATTGCAGAAAATAAGCAGCATTTTCTGTCTGCTTGAAACTTTCACACGCGCACATCCAAACGCGCAAATAAAAGTAAACAAACACGCTGCAAAAGGAAAGAGAAAAACGAGAAAGAAAAGTTGAAATGGGTTGAACGGGACGAGTTGAGTAAAAGGCACGAACAGGAGTGAACAGAAAAAAGAAAAAAAAAAAGTAGTGAAAATAAATGAAAATCGTTTCAAAATGGAAAACCGAAGAAAAGTTGGCTGTTTATCTTGAGAAATGGGTTTGATTCGTTTATACGGTCGCTGTTGCTTTAGTCGTTCACCGACGAGAGATAAACACTTGGATTTAGATTTGTTGCTTAACGCGCATCTATTTGTTTTACGATTTTGATGTATTTTAGTGGGTTCCCACTTCACCGGTTTGCGGTGTGAATATGTTTGTAGTGTGAGTGCAGAGGATACGAAAACGAGATCTAAGTAGCAGAAATAGAAAAAAGCGAAGCGAAAGAAAAAGTGCCCCTCATCAACCTTACTTCGAGTGCCTAGGTAACAGTTGGAAGAAGAATCAATGGCACGTAGAATGTGCCAAAACACGCAAAAACCCATGTTTAAACACGATTTTTCGTGTTAATTGTAAAACCGAGTGCTTTTTATTCGCGTGCTTTCTGCTGATTTGAAATTAATTGAAACGAAGTTCGAGTAAATTGTCGATTAAACTGACCGAAATTGGACCATTTTTGTACCTGTGCATGTGTGTGTGTGCTACAAAGAGTTTGCTGTGAGCAGTTTTAAGTATACTTCATATTCTAAGTATAGAGCTGGAAGAGGTTATTGTTTGTTGAGATGAAAATTTCCACAAAAATATTCTGTTCACATTATGTCGTGTGAAGACAAACAAGGAAGAAAGAAAACATGATTTTGCACGAAATGAGAGGATTCGAATGATGGAACTTTGCTACAATTACTCAACAATCTCAAAGCGTAAGTCATTTCTCAAGCAAAATTGAGATGATGTCGTTGTTACATGGGAATTTAAAGGAAATCCCGGGATCGATTTTTTGAGAGCCATCTACATAATTATTCTGCACAAATGTGCGCCGCTCATGTGTAATGCATGCACGTTTATGTCGTACGTTGGAATTACACAGAAGAAAACAATAGCTTCAACAGCAATTATCTATATGACTCTTTCATAAGTCGGTCATTTCCACGTATCCAACTTGCATTAAAATGATTAAAATGGATTCCACCGAGTGAGTCGCAATACGGAGGCGAATGCTTTGTAAGAATTGATGTTGTTCCATCTCTTTTTGTGTCAAGTAATAGTACTTATTAAAGTAAGGTGCACATTAACCATCAGCAATGAGTGTCTGAGATTCTAAAAGCGAAAAAAGGCATGAGTGAATCAGGTTACCGATTTCATATAGTGGCTTGATTTCCTCACCCATCGACCGAGACGGAAGAAGAAAACCAAGAAAAAACAACAACCACAAAACGAGAACAGGAGCATTCGAATATGGTTTT